TTGATTTTTAATTTTGTTTTAGATTGGTCACCTAATTAGGATTAAATCATTCTAGTTAATCGACTGTTAAAATCTATAATTGTGTGATCATCTGGGAATAAGTAACAAATATCACATTGGTTCCGCCTTAGGATTTAATTTTGATATATATAACCTGAAAATCACATATTTTTATACTTTCAAGTTTGTGAAAAGTATTGAATATTGTTAGAAATTTTTACACGTATCATAATGTTGCTTTATTGATTTAATTAAAAGCTTATTTAACAATGTTATTAAAAAATTAGGATTAAATGAAGAACTTACTTTGGTTAATTATTTTCATAAAGAGAATTTAATAGAACTTATTAAGAGTTGCAATATCAACTTAGATAGAACACATTTTAAATAATCAAATCTTGATTAACTGGATAATTAGGAGAGTCACAATAGAACTGAAACACTTTTTTATAACTCAATTTTATTCATTTTATTTCATTTCAATTTTTAGTATTAATTATTAAATAAAACCCCATTTTTATATTTTCGTACTTGACTATTATTTGTCTTGCACAAAGAAGCATTAACTTTTACATTGTATCCATGTGGATTCGACATTACTTCCCTTTGCTATCCTCTTGTGCATTAAACAATGATTTTATTTGCTTAAGCGTAAACAACACATTTAAACCCCATCAATGCTTACATTGATAACGTTTTTTATGGTGTTGGAACAATGTTTTTTTTTTAATTCTATTTTACACATCATTGCTCAAAATTCTAAACAAACTTGGGTCTTTAGGGCAAATGATGGAGGAATCATAAGGTTAAGTCAAAGGGGTTATGGAAGGAGTTTATTCGAGCCTTTTATGTGGTTGGTGAACGCATTAACATTACAAGGTCTAAGAGCCATATGAGGCGCTTCTGGGGATGGGATTTCAAACCTTCATATCAAGGTGGACATATATGAGATTAACTTTAACAACCTATTCGTCAATAATGTTAGGACAATAAGCCAACTAAGACGAGTCTGGTGTTGGCAATTGGTGGGTGACGGGCGTTATTTTTTCTCGTCCCTCAGAAATTCACTCGATATAGCCTTTTTGGAGACTATTTGGGATAATTTAGTTCCTATAAAAGTTAACATGTTAATTGGAGAATCATAATTGTTCAACTTCCAACTAGGATTAATTTGGCCAGAAGAGGGGTTAATATTAGAAGCAATCTTTATCCCAAATACAAAAGTAAGAAAGGAAACATCTATCTTCCTTGTATATTCATCTGGTAAAAAATTTAGAATTAAGATTCATGATGGCTAGTGGAAGGAGTTTCTTATTAGTGTCATTTATCGAATCGAATGGTACGATGGAACTACTCACATGAGGATGCAAAATATAGTTAAAAGTGTTGTTGGTGATCATTAGCAAGGTGAACTTGTGGTTTCTTTGAAAACAACCCGACTTGTATTAAAACTCTTGGTTTAGATGTAAAAACTATTTCTTTTATTGGTTTACACTATAAAAATCGGTGCAATATGAGTGAAAAAGGTCATCATTAATGAGCTGATATATCATAGCTATTGGCTTTAGCAGTGACATGTCGCCGCTAATAAGTCGTCGTTATTTCCCCTTTGCCAATGTTGCTTTATCGCAACTATGTCTCTATTTCAACGTTATTGGTTATTGTCATGGATGTTGAAGCTATAGCACCTTCTAATCCCATTTGTTTGATTCTAAACTCTATAGATTTAAGCTTCTCATCCACTATTCTTATGTTAAAAGATGCCTTTATGTAAACCATGTAGATATTTTAGATATATCATCATCAAAATGATATGTTTTAGTTTGGTAATTTATTAAAAGCATCATTATTATTAAACTACTTTGATTCAAATTGATCATCCACATCAAGAATCAAAGAACTAGAAGCAATGTTCTTTTAGATTTTTAGAATATAATGTTCTTTGATCATGTTCCTTTCCCATATTGTCCTCCACAAAAAAGATGGCATTATCTTCTGGCTCCTTAGAAACGCCCCCACTAAAAAACACATCAACGCCTTCTTGCTCCTTAGATTCTAACTGGAAACCACTTGCTCGCAACATTGTGGCTTCATGTCGATCTTTATTTCCTTATATGCTAGCATTTAATTTATATTTTTACCGATGTTTATATGCTAGCATTTAATTTATATTTTTACCGATGTGGGATTGGGTTTGCATCCTAACAACCCTCCCCTCAAACCCAAGGTTCATCAAATCCAATCCTTTTTCATACATTTGATACTCTCAGGACACGCTCACCTGACTTGGAGCCATTAGGAAGACTTTCGATACAAGGCCTCAGGATCAACTTCGTTTGACTGAGATTTATTGAGGATTGTGCCACCTATACAAACCACATCATCTGGGCTTCGTAGCTCTGATACCATTTGTTAGGATCGCCACTAACCCGACCATTATAAACATAGAAGAGCAATGAGGTTTTATTTTCTAACACTAATTGGTGATGAAAGGGATTACTCATTGCCTTATATGCAAGAATATAGTTTCTCTCTTTAGGTTATGTGGAGTGGTCACCACCAACTCACCGCAAAGTGGTGCCATCTCTGCACCACGTCACCTTCACCACCAACCCACTCCACTATGGAAATGGTCACCACTAACAACATTTACTTTTTTTTTTTTTTTTTTTAACATTATATTAAATAAATTCTCGTTCAAGGGAAGGTCCACCAATGATTGCCATTCTCCCCCTATCTGTCTCTTGCATATTAAATAAATAACATATTTTATAAATAAGATTTTATAAATAACATATTTTATATTAATTAAAACCACATTACATAATTTAAAACATAGGAAATTAAAACTAAAATACTAAAAAAAACATAATCCATACTTAGAAAATTAAACCTAAATTATTAAAAAAACATCAAATCTAGTTGCAATATTGGTCGAGAACTTCTTGTTGAATTTTCATAAACACCCTTAAATTTTCCAGGTTGAGATTTGGTTGCGGCACTGTATTCATGATTTGAAGATTGGTGAGTGCCAATTGTCGCCGGCGTTGCTCCTCCGTTGAATCAAATTTTCTTTCTAAAAAATGTAGAGTTTTTCGATTTTCTCCGCTAATACATCCTCGTTGGTTGATTTCCCGCTAGACGAAGCCCCCTTTCTCGCTTTGTCCCTACCCAGTGGTCGACGAAGATGGACGTCCGATGGACCCTCCCCCTCAGTGGCGTCGAAGTCATCATTGAGGTCGAGGTTAGCACCGATGTCCGACTCGGATGTTCTAGGCCTTTTGTTGGAAACGATGGTAGATCCTGAATGCGCCGTTTCCAGATAAAGGACCCATTTGGGGCCATTGCGAAAAACTTCCCACGCTTTTTGGTTGCCAAAAGGTTTACCATTGTTGGTAATTTTGTATTGGTGCAACGTCGTTGACAAAATGTTAAAATCATTGCTACCACTTCGATACATATTTTTTAGATTGTCAAATACACCGTTAAATTTGGTACACATCGCTCTAAGATCGTGTCAT